CCCCGGGAGAGTTCAGCGCGCGCGTCCTCGACGCTGCGGGGGAGCTGGGCTGACCGGTTATGAGCTGCTACCCTGAGGCGGGAGACCCCCCGGAGGCCGGAGGCCGGGCGGCGGTGGGCAGTGCACCAGCCGAGCGAGTTTACCAGGGCTGTCGGCGGCGAGCTGGGTGTGACACCGCGCGGGGTTCCCTAGAGCCCCAGAAGGAAGTTGGGTCGGGCGTGGTGACCCTAATTGTAATCCCAGCGGTTCGGGATGCTGAGGCAGGGGGATGACTAGTTCGAGGCCAGCTTGAGCAACTTAGGAAGACCCTGTCTCAAAATGAAAAGGGCTGGGGATGGAGCTCAGTGGTAGAGCGTCCCCGGGTTCACTCCCCAGTAACACAAAAAATATAATGAGGGTGGATCCTGCAGGCCAGCAGTAATGACCTTGCCAAGGCCCTGCAGGCGACAGAGGTCGTGGACAGGGGGTGTGCTGGAAATGTCCACAGGGTCAGACCACCCATGGTGAGTCTGGAAAGCTGTGGCCCTTCAGAGTTCCCCCATTGACCCTCCGGCCCACTGCGATCCAGTCACAGGGTGCAGGCTGTTCAGGTGGCAGAGTTGGGTGACAGGCTATTGGGTGGAGGCCCTTGAGATAAGGGCTCCCAGCAGCTGGAAGAGCCACCTGGGGCTGGGGCCCGGGCCAGCTCAGTCTCTACTGTGCAGGAAAGGGCGAGGCCCCTCTGAGGACCAGAGAGCCTTTACCCAGCCTGAGCTGGAGTCTAAAAACTGACTGGACCAGTGAGGGCCCCTGGGAGAGCACCAGGAGCCGGTTCTTCAGTGATCAGCAGAGCTCTCCCCAGAGAAGCCTGGACCATTGCATCCCCACTCTGTACACATGTGAACACAGAAACAGTGAAACAGGGCCCTGATGGCTGGGTTTAATTGTCTGTTTTAAGGGCCTGTTAAGATCAGACCAACCAGTGCTTGCCTCTCGTGCAGCATTGGGCTGTATCCATGGCCTGGACGAGGCATGGGCCAGCAGGAGGCTGCCTGTCTGCCACTCTGGGCTTCGAGCACACTGGAGGCGGTCACCCTATGGAGCAGCAGTCACCCTGTAGAGCAGCTCTTCCCCTGGCCTGTGCCTTCATTTGGGGCTCCCTGGCTATCCCTTAGTGAACCCACAGCCATTGGCTCCAGCCCTTTCAGCCCCCCACATCCTGTTGTGCATAGTTGGGGAAGAATACAGGGCTGACTCCAGAGCAGATCGTCCACCCACACTGCCCCTCGGTGGGAAACATGAATAGAACAACCTGCTCGAGGTGCCCACCATCTTGCAATGAGGAAGGATGAGGGTAGATGGCAGGTGGGTGGCAGGTGTGCAGACTCACCATAGGCCAAGGCCCAGGGCGGGGTGGCACAGACTGCCCTGCTTTCAGATGAGCAGTACTGCCTTCCAGGTGTTGTGAGGGTCTGTTGAGGGCTGTGGGTGGCATCAGTCCCCAAGAGACTGATTGACCTAAGGATGGGTGAAGTCACTGCCATCTGCGCCCACTCTTGAGAGACCTGGGTGGACCGCACAAGCCAGGTGAAGCAGGCCTTTGAGGATGGCCCACCAGGGCTGTGGGTGCATTCTTCGGGCGAAGTCCTGAGGCAGGGGGATGTCTGCAGAGCGTTTTCATTTACTTTCGTTTCAGAGGTCATTTTCACTTTTTTTTTTACACATTTCCGTGCCTATTCTTTTCACTGTTATAAAAAAGCTTTTGGGAGAGAAATTAAGGAGGCATGTTTCACTTGGAGCGGCCACAACACCCCTGCATTAGAATCTCTTCAAGGAGACCAGGACCCTCCCCAAGGCCTCCAGGTGGGGACTTCAGGTCCCCTGGTGTGCTTTCCAGGGACGTGGCCAGTTTGGTCTTGCTCTGAGGTCTGTCCCACTACCCTGTCACCTTGTCTGTAGCTAATGGCCCTGACTCTCCTGTCAGGCATCTATCCAGTTGGCCCCGGCCCCAGGTCGTTGCCAACACCACCAGCCTGTGTGTGGCCAACCCCTGCCTATCCTTCTCTCAGAGGTCCAGGTGTCACTTAGGGCTGGAGGATGGTGAGAGCCCCAGGAGAAAGAGACTGGTGTGACCTGGGCAGGGGTGTTGGGTGGGGAGCTGCAGAAGCTGCAAGTTCCTCCACCTGGGACTAATTTTAGGCCTGCTGGTCCCTGTGGAGCCGATGCGGGCCTTCTCTTATTGTCCTCAGGACTGACTCTGGCTGTGGCCACTCCTTTGGCACTCTTCCTGGCTGCCCTGCAGAGCCCCAGCCTCCTGCAGCTCCCTCCCTGTCCCATGCTCACACTGGCCCCTGTCTTGTGGAAGGGTCTGAGGAGCTTGGTGGTATGTGACCCTGGTCCTCCTGCCACCGTGGTGGAGCTGAGCATAGCCAGGGAGCATTGGAAACTTCCCAGCAGCAGGTGAAGGGCGACGGGTTTTTAAGAAGCCTCTTAAAATGCACCTCTTCCCTGGGCTGTGTGTCTGCGGCCCTTGGGTTGATGGTTTTTGGGGCATTTCTGTCTCCCCTCCAGCTGCCATACATCCTGGGGTGGCTTGTCCCTGACTTGCCCCTTCATGCCTTCCTTGTATGAGTCTCTGTTCCTCCTCCACCTGCCAACCTCTGCTCACCCTTCAAGACCCCTCTGGAAGATCCCTGCCTTTTCAAGGTTGCCTGCAGCCTCCCTGTCACCACCTCCCTGGCCCCCAGGCTCCCTCAGTTCCTCTTCTATCCCAGGAGGTGAGCCAGGGAAGCTCCAGGAAACGCCCCCTGCCCTGACCTTGTGCCCTGCTGTTGTGACTTCACTCCTAGGAAGTTCTGGAAGCAATCTACTGAACTGAGTTTATGACCTCCACCCCAGGACCTGACCACAGCTGGGCCCTCCCAGTGTGCCCTGTGCAGCTCAGCAGCCTGCCTGAAAGGCCCTCCAGCAGCTTATCTTGCTGTGGAAAGGTAGCTAGGGTCCCCACCTCGGTCCTCACTCCTCCCAGTGTAGCTCTGAGTGCAGGCTTGGCGCCACCTGCTGGGATGGCCTGAGAAGCGGGGAGGGGCGCCAGTGCAAGGGAGGCCTTCAGCCTGGGCTGGGAATGGACGCTCACATGTGCAGGGTCTGTGGCTACTTAATGCCTTCGCAGCAGAGTGGCAGAGGTGAGCAGCTGCCTCAGGGACTCACTGGCCCCCTGTGCCTAGAATACCTGTGGTGTGGCCTGGCTTGGCCAGGGGCAGCTACCAGTCCACAATTTGAGCAGCAGTCCCTCGCTCCATTGGTACACACGTGCTGGGCAGGCTTGCCCACACCTGGGAGAGCTGAGAGGAGGGGTCCAGCCTGCCGGCCTGGAAGAGCTTTGCACCTGCCCCCATACCATCTGCCAGCTGGGGGTGGGTGCAGGGATAAGGACACCTGGCGCTTTGGCTAGCCAGGTGACTTCTGGGCCTGATATGACCAGCTCTTGCTGTCAGATCAGTTGTGGCCCACTGAAGGGCTTGTGAGGGGGAGGGAAAGGGAGACAAATGACATCTCCTGGGCCTTTTTTCTTTTTCAAATTGGTGATGATGGGGATGGAACCCAGGGCCTTGCACATGCGGGGCAAGCCTCTGTTGCTGAGCCCCATCCAGAATCTCCCAAAGTCTTTTTTTTGTGTGTGTGCTGGAGTGTGAACCTAGAGGCACTGTACCACTGAGCCACACCCCTGCCCTTTTTTAGTTTTTATTTTGAAACACAGTCTCAATAAGTTGCTCAAACTTGCCAAAGCTGACCTTGAACTTGTGGTCCTTCTTCCTCAGGCTCCCAGATCCTCCTGCCTCAGGCTCCCAAGTCACTGAGTTCTCCAGGGTCATTTTCAAACTGGCCCTCCTGGGGGAGGCCCAGTGTGGCTTCAAGCTCAATGATAATCCCCCTCCACCCCCACCCCGCTTCTAAGAAGTGCTGAGGGGCCCAAGACAGGACAATGTGAGGGACACGCTGTCTTCCTGGACAGCCACCCGTGCCTCTTCTGCAGCCCGTCCCGCTTGCCATCAAGGTAGGAGTCCACTCCCCACCCCCATGGTGGTCCACCTTAGCGACTGGCCTGGAGTCAGAGGAGGCCCAGAGGAATGTGCTGTGTGGTTCTGGGCTCTCAGAGAAGCCGGCTGTTCTCTCAGCCTCCTGGGCACTGCTCCCTCTGGGCACCAGCTGCTATGCTGGGAAGTCTCATGGGGAGGCCATGAGAGGGGTGCCAGTGGGTGACCAGCCGGCCATCTGAACTGTAAGTGCAGGAGTAAGGCACTGTGGGTTCAACCCCAGTACCAAAGAAAAGTGTGGTGGATGGGGTGTGGAGACTTCTGAGCTGGGCCACAGAATGCCTGGGTTTCCGCCTCCCTCTCGGGGATCTCGGAAGACAAGCAGTCTCCCTCAGCTGCCATGCTGGGTGGGTGTTCTAGCAGTCCTGCTCCCGGCCTGCTCAGGAGGAGCTGAGGCCTCCACAGCAGCCAGCCATCTGGGAACAGACCCTGAGCCCCTGCGAGGCTGCATAGGGCTAGCCCTGGGCATCCTCTCTGGAGCTTCCCGAGAGACCTGAGCTGACCCACCTTGGCATGGGTCAGTCTGATGACAGAACTGGAGACATTCGAGGTGCTGCTATGGAGTGAGTTGTGTCCCTCGTTCATGTGCTAAAGCCTGACCCTCAACATGTGCAACGCTCCCTAGGATGGGCCCTGCTATGGTTGATCTGTGATATCCCCCAAAAGCTCATGAGAGACAGAGCCAGGACGCTCCAAGGTCAGATGATAGCCTGTGAGAGCCGCGGCTGCCTCAGTGGGTCATCCCCTGGACTAGACTAGCTGGTATGTAGGGTGTGGCTGGAGAGGCTGGGTCCCGGGGATGTGCCTTTGGGGTTATATTGTGTCCCTGGCCTGTAGCTTGCGCTCTCTCTGCTTCCTGGCCACCATGAATGACCAGCTGTCTCTGCCAGGCCCTTCCTCCATGATGCTCTGCTTTACCTCAGGCCCAGAACAATGGATCCGGCCAGCCATGGACTGAGCCTCTGAAACCACGAGCAAAAATGAACTTTTCCTCCTCTAAGTTGTTCTACGACTTTTGGTCTCAACAATGAAAGCTGACTAAGACCGTGATCCACTAGTGTGACGAGCGGTTGTTAGTGTCTCAGTCTGAGGCACAGCTGGGTTCCATCAGGTCTATTTTATTGATGCTCATCACACTTCAGACACACATCCTGATTCTGAGTCCTAACTGAGGCTACCCAAGAGTCCCAGATGCTCACCTGACATGGGTCCTAAGTCGTGGTCTCTGGAACTAGATTCAAGCTGGAGGAGACAGCAGCGACGGAGACCTCCCTCTCTGTCCAGGTCCTGTTGTTCCCATCGCCCCCCAGAGTCTGGGTTTTAAGTCCTAGTTCAGTTGTGCTTGCAGCAGTGCAGACGCTGACATCACTATCTAGGTCTGCCTGGGCCGCAGTTGGCCTCAGTTCTGCCACTCACATCACATCAGGGGCATGTTGCTTATGGTCTTTCCTCCACACACACTTGAATTAATACAACCAACAGTAACCCTGTGTATTCCTGGCACTCAGGTCAACTAGGACCAGTGGTCAGGACAGAGGCACACCAGAGGGTGACCGCGTGAGGGCAGAGGGAGGAGATGGCTGTGCAGGACCTGAGGGCAACAAACCTCTCGCTTAGACCCCTCCCCTGCGAGGGGGGCTTCCTCACTGCTCCTGGCTGCCTTGCCCTGGGCGGGTGGCCAGCCTGAGAAGGGAGCACACCGGCTGTGCGTGTACCAGGCACTTGTTGGTCTCTGTGTCACTGAACCCAAGGGCACTGGGTACCACAGCCGATGGCTGCTCCTGTCCCCTTTTACAGGAGACCAAGGGACTAGTAACTTGCTCAAGGTCTCAGGGTCGTGAGGGGCAGGACCTGTGCCAACGCTCTGTGCCTTGCTGGCCACAGCACAGGCCAGAGCTCTGCTCAGAGAACCCTCTTGGTGACCAGGAGCTACACCCACAACAGCCCCCTGCTTCCTCAGGTGGAGGCCTGAGGCCATGGACCCCCTCCTCTGCACCCCACCTTTCCCTCCACGCGATGGCTCACCTGTGCCCCGTCTTTCCAGTGGCCTGAGCTCCTCCCTGGGACAGAGACCTCCTGCCACAGAGCAGCCCCACGTGTGCTTGGCTGTTGCTTAGAGTGCGGCCTTGTGCTGGGCATTCGGAACGAGGGCTCCAGGGCCCTGGGGGGCGGCAGGCCTGGCCAGATCACAGACCAGCCCTGGTCCAGGGAACATCCCTGGGATCTAACCTAGGGCCACTCCTTCATCTTCCCTGGGGCTGGGGTAAGGCTGGGGGTAGAGCATTTGCCCGACATGCGTGAGGCCCGGGCTCCTCCTCAGCACCAAAAGGGAAAACAGGGAATCTATGGCAGGAAGCCCTCTGCCAGGGCCGGGGCCGGGACAGACTCAGTGCTGCCCCTGGGAAGCCGAGAAACAGCAGGCCTCAGTCGGAGGCCCCAGAGGGCAGGGCTGCTCTGTCTCCTTGTGGTCCTGGCCTCCCACAGGCAGCAGGATCCCCCTTGGCTGTTAGGTGACCCAGCTGTGAAGGGGTCCCAGGAGCTGGTGCTCCCTCTCCCGGGGCTGCCCGTGTCCCAGACCCAGGCCTGGGCTCTGATGCCTCTGTGCTAATTTCACAAAAGACTCGACTTGAACTCCTGACTGAGCAGCTTCACTTTGACAGGACTGAAGATTTGTGACAAGGCTGATCATCACCCCAGAGCGTGGGTGATGTGCAGGCTCCGGGGAACCGGCTAGCGGGTATATTTTATGGCTTGCTTGGAAGACAAACGCAGGCATTTATGTGTCACTTGTTGCAGTATAAATGCTAACTTGTACTTCTTTCAAAACTTTTAATGAATTGTATGCATTCTGGAGGATTTATAGGATGAGTGGGATGGCCCAAAATGTTACTTTAAACATATTTGTCACTTTGGAAACAGCACCAAAAAAATCTGGAAGATATTGCACTCAGAAATAAATCATAAATGGATGCATCTGAAAAGAGGTTTATTTTGGTCGTTAATGGTTGATGGGCCCCCCAGTGCAGGATTTAAAGTTAAATTATGCAAAATCAAAAACAAACCCTATAATACTTAATCAAACATGCATAAAACTGTCAGGCCCAAATAAATTCTCTCAATTAACTCGCTTCAGATTGTGATTGCATTCACTAATTTAATCAGCCTCAGAGTGAGGTGGAGGCCGGGAGAAGATGGACTCGGTGAGTATGCCCCTCAAGGGGCCAGGGCAGCACCTCAAGCCAGGGCAGCAGGCTGGTCCTGGCCACAGAGGATGCCGTTCTTTTACTTTTTTCGCACTGAGGCTCGAAGCCAGGCCAGTGCTCTGCCCGTAGGCTGCACCCCAGCCTGGGCTTTCCCCACTAAGGAGGCTGTTTCCTCTTTTCTCCCCAGGAGACTGACTCCCCAATCGGGCACAAGGCTTCCCTCCACCCCCGCCTCTGTGCAGGAGCAGGCGTCCTCCACGTGGGTCACCTGGCCTGGCCAGACTTGGAAGAAGGCCACCATGCCTTTGCTGGCTCCTCTGGCCTCAGCAGGAGTGTGCCTGCCTGCGCGGCTCCGTTCCCACCCTCTCCCCCTGCTCTCCCCCTGCTGCCCCAGTTCATCCCTGGTTGTGTCTCTTGGGAGACAGAGGTGGTGGCAGGTAGGTGGGCACTCCAGGGAGGAGTGCTGGAGAGCCTGCTCCTGGGGGGACGTGGCCATCTCAAGGCCAGGGCCCAGTGGTGGCTCCTGTGCCACCTGTGCTGTGGGCACTCGTGCAGCACCCCATGACCATCTGGCTCCCTTCAGATGCTGCAATCTGGCCGTGTCCCAGGAAGCACAAGTCCCAGCAGCCACGGCACCTTGAGGCCTGCAGAATGCAGGGTGCATGCTTTACAGATGGGGTTGGGGTCGCGTGGCCATTCTGTCTGTCTGGGCCCTTAGGGGCTAGCTCCAGCAGAGGCAAGTCCACCCCCCCCATGCTGCAGTCGGGGAGGGAGGAGAGTCCATGGGCGGGCGGACAGCGTGCCTGAGAGGCTAGACTTGGTCTTTCCTCCCAGCTGCTGCCTGTGTCTCAGGACCCCCATCTCTGAACCCCCTGGGGACCCCCCTCCTCATTGCTCTGGCCCCTGGCCCTTCCTGCGTTTTGGTGGAGGGTTTCTGTGGAACCATCAGCAGCCTATGGCGACCCATGCTGGGCAGTAAGACGGACGGACCCTGGGGACATTCTGCTGAGGGAAGAGCCCAGACACAGAAGGACAGAGCCTGTGTGATATCTCAGTCTTGAGCGGAGGTGGAGTGGTGGGTGAGCGGCCCTGTTTGTGGGGACAGTGTTCATGGGGACCGAGTTTCAGTTTAGGAAGATGAAAAAGTTCTGGAGCTGGTCAGAGGTGGCAGCTGCACTGTGGTGGATGCACTCAATGCCACTGAGCTGTGCACTTAAAAAAGGACCAAATGGTGGATTTGGGGATGTGGCTCAGTGGCGGAGTGCTTGCCCTAGGTTAGATCCCAGGATGGAAACAAAACTAAAAAAGGTAAGTTTTTCACATATATCACAAAAGGAAAGAATGTCAAAGGCAGCTGGGCATGGTGTGCACACCTGTAATCCCAGCAGCTTGGGAGGCTGAGGCAGGAGCATCATGAGTTTGAGGACATCTTCAGAAATTTAGTGAGACCCAACTTAAAATAAAAAGGGCTGGGGATGTGGCTCAGGGGTAGAGTCTTCGTGGGTTCAATTCCCCGATGAAAGACAAAAAGAGGGCAAAGGGGGACTCTCAAGAGGACCCACAGGGTTCCAAGACAGAAAACGAGGAGGTGGAGATGGATAAACGGGAAGGGCTGGGAGCAGGTTGCTGGACACTGGGTCCCTGATCTCCCGCGTCCCACATCTCTGGTCAGTATGAAGGAAATTGGAATAAAAGCTCTGCTGGGGCCAAGTTCTAAGAGGGTTTTCCAATGCCTGGGACAAATGGTGGCCCAGGAGTGGCATCCTAAAGGGTGGCCCAGTGGCCTGCCTCTGGGTTGGCCGGGGTGTCTGGGTCCCCTGCTGAGGTGGGCAGAGTGGTTGGAGCTTGGCCACCACAGATGGGCTGCTGAGTGGTAGTGGGGCCCCTGACCATTCCCAGGGTTTCCGGGCAAGGTGTTGTGCCCTCTGCCTGTGGTCTGGCCATGTCTTGTCCATTAACCCGTGCACCTGTGTCCATCTGTGGCCTCTGTGGGCAGCTCCTGTTTGTCTACCTGCCCCAAGAATAGAGATGGGCACGAGGACTTTCCCCCTCATCACCTGACAGCCAGTCTTACTTCCTTACCGTTCGTTAAGCTGATTTTAGTAGGTGGGCTATTCCCGATTGAAAACCAGCTGCGATGAACAGGGAGAAGCCTCCTACCTGGCTGTGGTCAGGATTTTACCTTCCTCGCCTGTACTGTGGCCCAAACCCACGTGGCTTGAGGTCCGCTGTCCCACCTCTGTGAAAGGCCTGGTCGGTCGGCACAGGACAGACTCTTGCCTCTCCAGCTGTGCCCTGAGCCTCCTGTTGTCACACTGGACGCCTGAGCTGGCCTCCCAGGTCTTTGCGTGGGTCCTCCTGCAGCTGCTCTGATCTGGACTCCAGTTCCTTCCTCAGTCTTGGAGACTCCAGCATGGCCAGGTCACCTCTCAGGACACCGGGAAACCCAGCTACCTGTGGCTGCCAGGGCAAGCTCCAGGCTCGTCCTGCACATCCTCCCCTGCTCCCTCCCTGGCACTGCCTGCCCCTCTGCCAAGGCTCCTTTCTGACCTTAGAGGTTCAGCTCAGCCTCTGCCTCCAGGAAGCCCTCCTGCCCCCTGGCAGAGCTCATTGTGGTTGTGTCTTCCCAGAACCTGTGGAGGCTGTCTGTCTGTCCCCACCTACTGGGACTGAGCTCCTTGGGGCAGGCCTGGGTTCAGTGGAGCCCTTTGTCCCTGTGTTGGGCCCAGGGCCTGCTGGCTGAAACGGGCCAGAACCCCTGGCTCTCCAGGAGCTCCAAGTGGACCTCCTGACAGGTGTGCTTGGCCCAACTGCCCTGGGGCTGGGTTTCTGTTCACTGACCTGGTCCTCAGGCCAGGCTGGGCTATAGGGCAGGCGGCAGCTTCCGGCAAAGCTCAGGGACAGAAGGCAGGTGGGAATCGACCCAGCAGCCGCCCAGGGCAGGAGGGCTGCGAGGGAGCTGCCCACGCCCAGGGCCAGGGGCAGGGGGCCCCAGGAGGGTCAACTTGGTGCAGGGCTGGAGCCTCCAGGGCAGGTCTGGCACTGGCCACCTTTGGTGTCAGGGAAGAGAGCACAGGGGCCAGGGTACGGGTCAGGTGGAGGTGACATTCAGCCCCCACAAATGTCTTCTGTGCCTCAGAAAGGGACATTCCTGGCTCTGTTGCCAGGAACTGACCCTGCTGAGAAGGGATCTGGAGCCCTGTCCTGGGGTCATCTGTGGGAACCCAGCTCCCCTCCACGCAGTGGGGTTGAGGCAGGCAAAGAGGGACAAAGGTGTGCACAGGCTCCCGGGCACCTTGTCCTACAGGAGACTCCACGTCAGCACATGCTGCGTCCAAAATGCAGCCCTTGAGACCACCTGCACTGCTGCCCTGGACAGAGCAGCATCCGCAGCTGGTCCTCATCAGGGCCTGCAGCTGGTTCCCCTGGGGATAAGAGGGACATAGCTGGGGTGCAGCTCAGCTGGGCTTTATACCCGTGGTGAGAAATGCAGTCCTGCCCTGTGCACTGGACAGGTACACGGCTCCCCTTCACATGGTAAGGAAGGCAGGGTGTGCGCCCTCATGCCCTGCACAGGAGCCCGCGCCCAGGGCACCCCCATCCCACAGACCTGCCCAGGACACCTGCCCCTGGAGGCTCAGGCCCAGCTTGGTGGGTGCACTGGGAGGCCAGCAGGGGGCGCTCTTGGCCTGGGGTGAGTGTCAACACTCGGGACCCAACCTGCTTCTTCCCGCCAGCGCAGGTCTGAGCTCCTGCCAGTTGTCTTGCTGAGACTGGACAAGGGCAGCTGTGTACCCAGCCACCCCAGCTCACCCAGCCCACCCAGTTCACCCAGCTCACCCAGCCCACCCAGTTCACCCCAGCTCACCCCAGCTCACCCCAGCTCACCCCAGCTCTCCCCAGCTGTCTGGTGTTTCAGTTCACTCCTGGGGTCAGCCAAACTTGAAATGGTCCCATGGGAAGTACCATTGGACTGGACTCTGGCTCGGGATCCTTGGAAGGATGGGGGCAGCTGCTGTGGGATCTGGGCTTCCTTAGGGCCACTCATGTACCCACCTTCAGGGGTACAGAGCACTGAGCCCAGAAAGACTTGCACCCTGGTCATGGGGTCCCTGGGGAGGAATGGGAGGGGATGTGAGTGTGAGGGTCAGGGACAGCACCAAGTGGAACTACAGAATGATCTTGGGGTTGCTGCAGCACCAGAGTGCTCAGACCTGGTGTGCTGGGTCCCCACTCCCCCTGTCTGGCCGGCCTGCTCCCTGGAGGGCCTGTCCTCTCCCCAGGGCTCAGACCTGGTGGGAGTGCAGGGCTGGGGAGTGAGGGGAGGCTGCAGTGTTTGCCATTGGCACCAGGGGGCGGCCTTGCTCTTCCTTGAGCTCCTGCAGGTGCATCAGGGCTGCAATGGTGGGGTGAGGCGGGCGCTGGAGGAGTGCTGGACTCCCCTCTGCAGCCGGGTCCTGCGGGTGGCCCCGTTGCTTTCCTCAGCACTGCCTCCTAAGGTTCATCCTTCAGTCAGTAGCTGAGAGACCACCCACTTCCAGGTGGGAAGTCGGCGGGCCACTGTGAACAGGGCTTGCCTGGGCCAGGCTGCCACCTGGCACCTGTGGTGGGGACAGGTCGGGTGCTGGGCACCCCCAGGATGCTCGCCAAGGCTCCTCCCTCCTAGTGGGGTGCACACCTAGGACAGGGGCATTAAGAGGCCTGTTCAGTGAGGTGGGTGTGGCTAGCCACACAGGCTGCTGGGCACAGGTGGACCAGGGGACAGGCATTGAGCTTTA